TGATCAATTTTGTATATTCGACACTTTTACTTAGAAAAAATTTGTTAGAATTCCTACAATTCTCAAAATTTTTGAAAAATAAAAAATTTCCAGAAATCTAGTATTCATCATTATGTTGAATTGTTGTGATTTACTAAAATTTCTCAAATTCACAAAGTTTTGAAAGTTTAGAAAATTTTGGAATTCCACTCAAGTTATTTAAAATGGGATACTTCAAGAAATTCAAAACTATCAAAACTCTTAAGGTATTGGCCCAATGCACGCTTGCTTTGCTTGCTTGGCTTTGAGAACTGTCAAACAATTTTTAAAATCTACTAAAATGTATGAAAGTTGGGCTAGTGGCAGCTTAACTTAACTTGCTTGAAGCGCTTTAAAGTTTCGATTGACCGAAATCTCTATTTGACAGCGCGCTGTAGGCTTTTGACAACTCTTGACATTTCAATTTTTCGCGTCGATTTTGCTTGTGTGCAGTTTTTATCGCGCTCTTCATCAATTTTAGGTAAAAGAGTTTATATTGAAAAATTATTTGTTGCTAACAACATTATTTTTTACAGATATCTTGCTTTTTTATCGTTCCGGCCACCAGATTCGTTAATGTTGTTAGCAACAAATAATTGCCTTCAATAACAAATAATAAAAGCCTTCAAAGTAAAGCAAAGCAAACTAAAGTAAGCAAAGCAAACAAAGCAAGCGTGCATTGGGCCAATACCTTTACAATTTTAAATTGCGGTGATTTTTAAATTTATATACACGATATATGTTGAAAAATTTTCCCCCCCAAGAATTGCTGCTGGGTCCTTTAAGATTGGTAAATTTATCCGCTGATACCGTTTGTCGACGTGAAAATTTGTTCAGAATACTAAACTGCTATCAGGCTATTAAAAGATATTTTTTTCTTATTTTTGAATTTTTGTAACATATTTTCCAGAATGTTACTGTTTTAAAAGCAAGTTAAAGGATTAAATAAGTTTAGAAACTATTCGAAAAAAGTATACTAACCGATAAGCATTGTACTGATTTTTCACATTAAATGCATGCTTTTTAAACATTTGCATATCACTTTGAGTCTCATTTATTACATAAGCTAATGTTGAAGTTTTTTCCACCTGCATAATAATTTTCATGGTTTCATGCCATGGGTTTTTTTGGAAGCCAGGCTATTTGTTAATTCTTTCTTCGGTAACAATTTCCCATACATGCCATTTGAACACTTTTGGAGAAATAAGCATTCATTCAGGAAATGTTTCACTTTTTTTCTGAGTCTTATTTAACGAAAACATGTAAACAAGGAAATGAAAAAAGTGGCATTCATGAAACTTCGGAGGGACAGTATTATAATAGAAAGCCACGCTTATGTTGATCAAATTTTTCAGGCGAAAATGGAAAATAACGATAAAAGTTAAGGTGGTCAATTACAAACAATTACGCTTTATTCATTGTTTGTTTGCTTAAATTTTTTGTCAGGTTGATTATCGAATAACCTTAGCGGGGAGAAATATTTTTATATGAAGTAGGTAAAATATATCAAAAAATACCGTTCGCAAAAGAAAACAAAACGGCTTGTTAGTGGCTTATTATTTGGATCGTATAATGCTGTTTTCGATTTTTCAATTTTACCACCATAAAAAAATTAACAAGGGGGAGACAAAAAAAATGCCACTTCGTATGGAAATGGCCCACTTACATATCAACTGCTTTTCCCCTGCCGAATGGACTGTAAGTGCAACTATGTGCTTCGATTTTGCGGTTCTCAAGCTTAATTCTATACATATAATAAAATTGTAAAAGCCTGATGTCTTTACATTATAGATATTAAGGAAATATTAATATGGGAGGTTTTTGTTAGAGCAACAGAAGCCAAATCAACAGTTTTTAGAAATTTTGTCTGTCTGTCTGTTGGTATGTTTGCACGCGCATCAGTCAAAAACTAATGCATGAAATTGAATGCACGGGGCTATTCAAAAATGCAGCAAAACAAAGCATCACTCTCTTTGATTTCTAAACTATAATTGATGAAAATATGCAATATGCGCAAACGCGGGTAGATGTCGAATTGGAATTTAGTTGCGCAAATTGGGCTTTTACAGCAATTCTAGTTTAGAAGTAATAGACACTGATGCTTTGGTTTACTGCATTTCTGAATAGGGGACAGTTCTCACCGCTGTATTGCTAGAATTCCAATTCAAAATTGATTTGCTTGACCTTGGTTTGTCGGTCCAAACAGGAATCTTTATTTACGGTTGATGGATAGCTCGTTTCCAATGGATGGTGGCAATACAGTGGCTGACTTACGTGTAATGATTTTGTATTACCGGCTTATGGTGACTCAATTGCTGTCAAATGAATAGTCCAGATTTGATGCTCACAACTTCTTTATTCTACGCAACAACATGGCTGGGGATTTGCCGGAAGGAATGTGACGGCACCTTTTGCCTCTATTAATTTCCACTGAGGGGTGAGTATCGACTCCCCGAATGCCGCCAGCTTTTCATACAAGCTTTTAATCCACTTTAATTACTTGGTTGTAACTCCGTTCTTGCGAGGGCTGATGAGTGTGGTTCGCTCCGTGTCCACTTCCAAAAAAAAAATATATTTTTCTAGCCTCGTGGTATGTGACCACCGATTCATTTATCGTATGTCAGTGTGGGCGTTTTCATAGTGGCCATATCAATTCGTGTCTATACTGATATAATGGTTCGTGTCTTGAATAACTATTGGTTACGTACATTCATCTGGCAATCCCCTCCATTTTGAAGTTTAGCTTTGACAGTTTTGTTACGTTTACATTTCTTATATTCGTTCTTATGTCTATTATTTGTCATCTTCAGCGACACGTTAACAAAAAAAATGTGGAGCGTTTAGTAGGGATATGAGAATGGTGGTTCAAATGCGATTCACGGGCTGTGGTTTGATCGACGTTAGACCTTACATCGAAATCGTTCTACATGATCTTCATCAACCCCATCCTAACTCGTTCAGTTCGCCTTTTAGCGCATATGTATGTACAAATGTTCCGTCTTTCGTATTTAGTTTCAGTACGCATTACATAAGCTACGGTAGATGAAAGGCATTGGTAAATGATTTGGTTATGAATCTTTTCTTGTTTGCTTTGATCGATTTACTAGCAATGTACTGAGGATATAATATAACAAAACTATGGATATAACAAAACTAAACTTAATTAATTTATTCCAGCCGGGTACCCTGTAATAAGGCAGAATCAATGGAGTATGGAGGCCCGCCATATATTCATCGAAATTCTTGAGAAGGCGAATGTATTGAATGAGTTAACGTGTTGTGATTAAATCGGCGGAATAATTGCCAAGCACTCGGTGTTTAGCATCGATCAGTTCATGTGAATTAGAACCAAGTTTCCGTGAAACATAGGCTCTAATTTTTGGTGGAGCTAGTTTTTGTGCATAGCCCTCTCACTTCCGAGCCTATCTGGAAATGGCGTTCTCTTTTGCGGGTAAATGCCCGTTGTGCGGTTTGTTTATATTGTTCGAACTGTTTGTCTCGAATTTCATCAGCCAGAACTTTACGCTGTTCCACATCCTGTGTATGGTATGGATTTACATCCAATAATAATTTATATTCGTTTCCATCTTTCACATATTCACGACCAGTGTGCAGGAAATAAGGTGTGTAGCCCGAGGATGAATGCACTGAAGTGTTAATACCATGAATAAATCGAGAAAGATGGTTTTCACAGGAGGAATGTTCAAGAAGGTCAGCCATGTGAGCACGTAATCCAAGTTTAATGCTTTTGTTTGTCGCCTCGACCTGATTGGCTTGTGGATGGTACAAAGGCGTTTTCATGTGTTTGATGTTATAATCGGCGCAAAGCTTTGCGAAAGTTTGACTGATGAATTGAGTACCATTATCTGATATAATGAGTTCGGGGCAGCCATTCACCGTGAATATATGTCGAAGATAATTGACTACGGATATGGCGTTTGCATTTTTCATGGGCTGCGCCCAGACATATCGCGAGTAACAGTCGATGGCTACGAAGATCCATTGGTTACGATTTTTAGACATGGGCAGCTTACCGACGAAGTCAATCGATAATTGCCTACCCGATCGGTTTGGTTCTCTATATTCGCCGTGAGGTGTTTTGGTGCTCTCGTTACTTGGTTTAATGCGGTGGCATAGTTCACATTGCCGAACGTACTGGTAAACGGACTCATACATGTTTGGCCAGTAATAGCGTTGTGAGATACGTCTATAAGTTTTCCAAACACCCTGATGCGAATGTTGGTTATGATTTTCATCGAGGACTTTTGCTCTGTCAGAAGATGGTACACAAAGTGTCCACAGTATTTCCGCACTTTGATTGGAAAATTTCAATCGATGATATAGGTTGTTCTCGATTTTATATCTATCTAATGGTTGTTATGAGGCCATGGCATGCATTTTGTTGTACCATTTATCGCACGTGTTTGGGTCAATGTTGATCACGGATGTGATTGGGAAACGATTGACGTGAAAATTACTCGGAAGGTCAATTGGATTTCTACGAACGATGTTGAGAAGAGCAAAAGAACGAGATAAGGAGTCAGGAAGTTCCAAATGTTTTGCTGGTTTATGAATAATTTTGAGATCGTATGGTGATAATCGGATCGCCCAACGACATAAACGGCCAGTTGGGTCTTTGAGAGTTTGTAGCCAGCGCAAAGCTGCATGGTCCGTTATCACAACCAATCCACGACCTTCAAAATATGGACGGAACTTTTCGACCGCTAAGAGAACGGCTAGGCATTCCCGTTCGGATGCTGTGTAATTTTGTTCGGCTTTCGAAAATTTCTTAGAAAAAGAGTGAACCACACGCTCATTCCCATCATGTTCTTGTACTAGAACAGCACCCGCTGCGATAAGTGAGGCATCGGTATAAACCTTGAATGGTTTTGAATAATCGGCCATAGTCAGAACGGGAGTGGTAGTTAAACACTCTTTGTGTTTGAGAAAGGCTTGTTCAGCAGCGGTATTCCATTCAATGGGTCCTTTTCGGTTTCCTTTATACAATTCACAAAGGGGAGCTGTGATCTCCGAAAAATTTGGAATAAATTTACGGTACCAGCCTGCTGCACCAACGAACCGTCTGACTTCTTTTGCCGTTTTGGGTCGTGAAAATGCAACAATAGCTCGAATACGAGATGGATTCGCAGATAGACCCTCTTGAAACAAAACGTAACCCTGGAATTCGAATCGTTTACAACAAAAATTCGATTTGGAGGTTGAGATGGTTAAGCCGGCCCCAGCCAGACGTTTTGCAACAATAGCCAATATTTTAACGTGTTCTTCAAACGTCGAAGTGCAAATTATGAAATCATCCGCATATGCGAATGCATGTGGAACCAAATCACCGAAAATTTTTTCAATGAGAATGGCTAACGTGGCGGGTGAATTTCTCAACCCCATCGTCATGCGACAAAAAGCATAAAGTCTGTTACCGAATGCAAAAGCGGTTTTCAGTTGACTCGATTTTGCCAAAGGAATTTGAAAGAAAGCTTGAGACAGATCAATACTGGTTAGGTCGTGACTTTAGTCGTGCTAAAATTTGGTTTGTATCCGTAATTGGATAGGCATTAGGAATGGATTTTAGTCAGCTCTCTCGCGTCCAAGCACACGCGACACCTTCCGTCTTTCTTCTTTACAGCCAGAATTGGTGACCGCCAAGGGCTTTCTTCGATGGTCATAATGATGTCACGACTACGCATTTTATCCAATTCGGCTTGAACTTGTTCAGCCACATATGGCGATACTGGATACCGGCGTTTCATGACGGGTTTTGCATCACCCGTATCACTTACGTGTTCGATCTGATTAGTGATATTTAAAGGACCAGACTCAGGAGTTGGATTAAAAAGTCTGAGAACGGCGTCCAACATTTGTCTTTGATCTGGGGAGACTATGTGGAAGGCTGACGCTCGTTATTTTTGGGGTATCTTGTTCACCCTCTAAACCGAGTGTGGAAGCGTCAATTGGCTCCAGATCATTACTCATAGAAGATACCTGAGCTTGCTCTTCCCCACTCCCTGGTGGCTGGTTACAAAAATTAATAAATTTATCCGCCGTAACCATTTCGACTGAGTGTATTTCTGCCATGAAAAACAGCTTCTCATAAAAATACAATCGCCGTTCGGAGTCGTCGTAAAACTGTAGGTCCCTCCGCTCTGTGTGACAACATCAAGGCGCATGCCACAAATCGGAGGAGAAGCTCGGCCAAACACTAACATATGTGTAAGCGCCAATCTATTATTATTATTAACCATTTCGACTTTAGCGGATGCAACATCTTCAGTATCACCTTTGGCTGTATGTTTTAAAAATCGTTGAACTTTCTCTTGGTTCTGCACCAGTTCGAAATAGAAGGCCCCAAGGAATGCCCGTCCCATAATTGGGTGTTTCAGTGAGATAGGTACGACAAGAGTTGGCACCAGTCTCGTAAGACTACCGACCGTATATAATACATCCACTTTACCAATGGCCTTAAAAGAAATCGAATTATCGGCAAGACCAATGGAGGTTTTGGTAGGTTGCAACTGCCCCCATATGCACTTCTCATAAAATGTTTGTGAAATGACTGTGACTTCGGCTCCACCATCGAGTAAAACCGTATGAGAATAGTTGTTAACCATAACCGTGAGATAATCGCGATGATCGTTCGGAATGTTATATGTCAAACATTTCTCTGAGATAAAGAAAACATCGCGGAGTCGTGGTTGGTTAACTTGATTGACTGCGTCTTGCTGGTGAGTAGGGACTGGAGCTGAAGTAGGCTTGGTAATTGGTAGTGCTCGTTCAGAACATTTAGTTGATGGTTCTTCGCCATCCCTTTGAGTTTGATTATATTCATTAAGCATCAGAGTAGAATTATTACTGGAACTGGGGACTGAAGATTTGTCGATTTGTAGAGGGACTTCGGTAGAGTGCGGATTGTTAGAGACAGTGGATTTAGATAAAGTTATGGATTCTGAGTACGATGGACCACTATTCCCAATCGACTCCCTTACGCGGTTTTTGAACACGGGCGTTGATCAGACGTAACCCCCGGTCGTGTACATTTGTAGCAGATCACCCTATTCGGTTGGGTTCCACACTTTTTGAAGTGATGGCCTCACACGAGACATTTTGCACATCGTACATTTTCGTCGCCCTCAACAGCGAGAAATGGGTCGACGATAGTTCCTACTTTCATATCATTCTCCTTTGGATTTTTATCATTTTTATAATACTCGAATGGTTTCGAATACCAACGTGTCTGAGATGCTTTAATTGGTTTCTTTTGCTTGTTCACGTATGCACATTCCCTGTCATCGGAGTCGGACCCATGAAACGAAGCGGTATATTCCGAATGTGAAGAATCATCCGGTGGATCATGTATTGCCGAAATTTCCCCTGGCGCTGATCGCTGTCTATCCGCACGGGTTCTTTCCGGACGGGGTGCGGCAGCAATGAACGAATGTGGTGCAATTCGCTGAGCGAACTCACGCAATTGCTCCAACGTGTGGACTTGTCGAGTGTGGACTAGTTCGCGCAGATGATCGGATAAGGTACCAATGATGATATCGAGGTGGTCCCGTTCATCCAGACCACAGGAATTACCCTGCAATTGGAATGTCAGGTCATCGATATGTTTCAGCAGTGTTTGCGAACGTGGATCGAATTTAATCTGTGCGTATGACATTATTACTTGGGCCCGGTTATATTTGTTGAGGAAACGAGCACGAAGTTTCGTGCAAAAATCTTGATAATCTCCGAAGTTACTCAGTTCGGTGAAGTACCATTGTCGAGCGGCCTCCGTGAGTGTGGGTACCAAACGCGTAACCAATTCATGGTCGGGTACTGCAATCTTATTTCGTAATGAGCCAATAATAGCCAAATAATCTACAACCGATAGAAATTTTTCGTTCACACGGCCCCCGTGAGTGTGGGCACCAAGCGCGTAACCAATTCATGGTCGGGTACTCCAATCTTATATCAAAATGACCCAATAATAGCCAAATAATCTTCAACCGATAGATAGTGGCCAAGTCAATTCGTGTCTATACCGATATGATGGTTCGTGTCTTGAATAACTATTGGTTACGTACATTCATCTGGCAATTCCCACCCATTTTGAAGTTTAGCTTTGACAGTTTTGTTATGTTTACATTTCTCATAATCGTTCTTATGTCTATTATTTGGCCAATAAAAATAATATACTAATAACTGCTGCTAATAACGACTGCTTTTTTAAATCAATTTCAGTTCGTATGTCTACATAAACTTGTATTTAACGAACTCACCACTAGCACGTTTATTGAATGCCCTCCGTTTTTGCACACGTGACCATGTTCTATGCGCTCCGATGGCGCCTTTATTTTCATGTGAGTCCCGTCAATGGCTCCTATTATTTCCGGGAAACGTTTTCATAAAATCTATACAACCAAAATATTTCTAGAAATAACTTTTTCAATAATACTTAATTTTTATCTTACACCCAGTTTTTTTTAGTCGTTCATGGAAACTTTAAATACATACTGAGTTAATAAGTGTCTGTCCGTAATACTAGTAATTTCTCTGATACATCTGCTGGCACTGGTTTAGGACACATTGATTAGGAAGTCTTGGCCGATTGAACGTTGGTAGCTTCCTGCAAATATTTAAGAACTTTATGCTAATTAGTTAAAGCATCAGAAGATTCACTTTCGTGAACCTAAGTACATACCTTGCGCAAAAAATCTTAATGCTATAAGAAATCGTAGCTTTTTTGATCAGGGACCAATAAATAATAAAGGTTTAAGGTGAGAAAAAAATCGATAGCGACTGTCAAAATTGAAAAGACCATTTTTTCTTTTTGGAACTTAAAAACAAGAGTTTGGAGTATATTGTGCCAAAATTTCACTGCAATCGCAGGCCTAGAAGATCTAAATAATTGGAATTGTTTAAATTATTGTTATTAAAGCATTCATTGTTTTGCGAATTTTATTCTGCAAATCTTTCTATTGTAAAGGGAAAAGCTTCAGCAATTCTCAAAATTCTCTCTCGAATTTCATCAAATGGGTCGCGAGTTACGAATTTTTCTCTCAAAAATTGCAATATTCTTATAATACCAAAAAAAAAACCAAAACGAAGTGCAATTTCGAAAAACCGTCCAAAGTGTATTTTTGTTCTATAATTATCTACAGATTCCCACAATTGTCTTCACTTTCCAGAAAATCAATGAAAATTCATTGACACAGTTGGCGTGTTTTGACTCTTATCTCAAATTTACAAATTGAAAATGTTGTCCGAAAATATTTTATATTTCGCTTATAAGAGTTATAACCCAAGGTTTATTTTTTACGTTGTTTGATAACAGTTATTGCCCAACGTTTATTTTTTACGTTGCTGGTAACAGTTATTGCCCAACGCATATTTTTTACGTTATTATCCAATGTTTTACTTTACGTTGTCTGATAAACCATGCAAGATAAGAATATTGCGAAAACGGAGATGGAAGATAAAGATGATGAAAATAAAAGAGAAAGGATGAAATAACTGTTATCAGACAATGTAGAAATAAACTTTGGGTAATAACTGTTATCAAGCAACGTGAAAAATAAACGTTGGGAAATAACTCTTATTGGCGAAGGAAAACATATCTCCTGCATGGCAGTTATCAGGCAACTTAAAAAGTAAACGTTGGGTTATAACTCTTATCGGCGAAATAAAAAATATTTCTCATCTAATAACTGTTATGGAACAACGTTTCTCCGATAAAACATAACTGTCATGACTAGGGATGGCAGCGATTAATCATTTGATTAAATTAATCGATTATTTTCGTCCAATTTACGATTTAATTGTATCGTAGTTCTGTTTCATTAAAAANGAATTGTTTAAATTATTGTTATTAAAGCATTCATTGTTTTGCGAATTTTATTCTGCAAATCTTTCTATTGTAAAGGGAAAAGCTTCAGCAATTCTCAAAATTCTCTCTCGAATTTCATCAAATGGGTCGCGAGTTACGAATTTTTCTCTCAAAAATTGCAATATTCTTATAATACCAAAAAAAAAACCAAAACGAAGGGCAATTTCGAAAAACCGTCCAAAGTGTATTTTTGTTCTATAATTATCTACAGATTCCCACAATTGTCTTCACTTTCCAGAAAACCAATGAAAATTCATTGACACAGTTGGCGTGTTTTGACTCTTATCTCAAATTTACAAATTGAAAATGTTGTCCGAAAATATTTTATATTTCGCTTATAAGAGTTATAACCCAAGGTTTATTTTTTACGTTGTTTGATAACAGTTATTGCCCAACGTTTATTTTTTACGTTGCTGGTAACAGTTATTGCCCAACGCATATTTTTTACGTTATTATCCAATGTTTTACTTTACGTTGTCTGATAAACCATGCAAGATAAGAATATTGCGAAAACGGAGATGGAAGATAAAGATGATGAAAATAAAAGAGAAAGGATGAAATAACTGTTATCAGACAATGTAGAAATAAACTTTGGGTAATAACTGTTATCAAGCAACGTGAAAAATAAACGTTGGGAAATAACTCTTATTGGCGAAGGAAAACATATCTCCTGCATGGCAGTTATCAGGCAACTTAAAAAGTAAACGTTGGGTTATAACTCTTATCGGCGAAATAAAAAATATTTCTCATCTAATAACTGTTATGGAACAACGTTTCTCCGATAAAACATAACTGTCATGACTAGGGATGGCAGCGATTAATCATTTGATTAAATTAATCGATTATTTTCGTCCAATTTACGATTTAATTGTATCGTAGTTCTGTTTCATTAAAAATATTTTCAAGAAATATGAATCCTGTTGTCGGCCGCTGTGGTGTAGTGGTAAGCAGTGCGCGCTTTCACTCATCAGCACCTGGGTTCAAGCCCTGGTCAAAGCAACATCGCAAAAAAAAATACAGAAAAAGGGTTTTTCTTAACAGCGGTCGTCCGTCGGCAGGCAATGGCAAACCTCCGAGTGTATTTCTGCCATGAAAAACAGCTTCTCATAAAAATACAATCGCCGTTCGGAGTCGGTGTAAAACTGTAGGTCCCTCCGCTTTGTGTGACAACATCAAGGCGCACGCCACAAGTCGGAGGAGAAGCTCGGCCAAACACTAACATATGTGTAAGCGCCAGTCTATTATTATTATTATGAATCCTGTAGCTGTCTAAAATCCATCCATCGAACATAATTTTTTTGCTAGCTGCATCACCTTTACTCGACCCAAGGTTAAAAAAAATTCATTTCAAAGATCCGTTATCATTGGCCTCAGGAATGAAGTTCTTGCGAACTTGAGTAATGTGTGCAGATGATCTTATGGAAAGGGGTAGCGAGTCGTCTTGTACACAAACGAAGGCGAAAAGATGATGATTTGGGTCCCCCACAAGATAAAATGAGTTTTTATTTAAAGTCCTAGAACTAAAGCTGACTATCATCGGCGCTTGGGAGGAAATGAAAACTGTTTACCCAAAACGTTACGGACATTCGAAAAAATACTGTCATTTAGTTGGTACCTCTGTGCCAGCTGTGCGCCTTTTTTTAAAAGCAGGTGCTATAGCCGCGGTTGCCACTTACCTCTTATGTTGTGTGCACAAAAACTGTACCAGAATGTAAAAATGTACCAAAATATGTTTTATCCAGAAATTTCATTATTTACACATTTTACAAATACGCATTGGTTATATAGTTAATAAACAAATTTTTCTGGTGTTTTGTGAACTATTCCTTCCTTAAGAAAAATTCTCTGTAAAAACAGACTAGTAGTTTTTTATTATAAACTTAGTTGAGCGAATAAACGCGACCTATGTATATAGAACTATTGTCCTTTGAGCACTTGTAAAATTAAACGTAGGGTGTCATATCCCAGATTCTGGACGGAGACGATAATCGCTCCCCGATATATAAGAGTCTTAAATATATGAACGTGGGAAATCGCATAATATATTCCATGGCCTGTGAAAGTTCTCAGGCCTTCCGGACTAAAATTCATAAGTCGTTCCGAGATTCATTTAGGGGTAGTTATAGGTTTCTAGATTGAGTTATCCCTTTCTCATCCACCATTAGGCGGTAGCTGAGAATCCTTCCGCTACTAGTAGCTGTGCTGTGTTGGCTCCGTTGCATCCCACATTTTGCTTGAACGTCAACTCATTCGTTGTCATCAAAACCCTCATGACCCGGTACCAAGCAAAGGGCTACCCCTACGCTGTTATGCATGCTTAATTAAATAACACTGGTTTACAGCAAAAATGTTCTATGGATGCCACTATCCAAATCCTACATAGACATGCTCGGTGATTCCGAAAATAGTTATTTTTTTATATTAAGACTTTTAAATTGGTTCGTAAGATATACGTGATTAAAAGGAAAAAATTTTTGCAATAAGCTGTATAACGGTAAATTGCAAATATCTCGAAAACGTATCCATAGAAAAAAAAGTAACCCGATTTTCGGTATCACCGAGCAATTCTAACAAAAGCCAAATTTAAATTTGTGATCCAGTGTAATCAAAAGAATTTTTAAGTTGATGATAGTAGTTACATTAGAAATACATATGCTATCTTGCTATGGCCCTGATTCGTATGATGTACTATGTACACAGCTGAAATGTTAAGAATGCTCAAATGGCTATTTGGTTATACTGCAATGCTTTTCAATTACCTGTATGAGATTAGTAAATAAGTATATGATGTCAGTAATAATAATCTCATTTTACCAAATTTCAAATGTACCAACTCCGAATGCCAGAACCAGTGTACCAAAGGAGAAAAAAATTATCAAAAATCGTACCTAAAATGGTACATTTCGGCTAAAATGGTATCCGTGGCTACAGCCACCGAGAAATGCAACCGCTTATCAACAAAACGCTTGTCAAAATTTTGTTTTTTTGCACACTTGCTAAATAATAAATAATTATCGCCGCTAAAAATTTATTTAGGGCTAATTAACACACACTTTTATGGAAAAGTGTTTTTGTGAATACTCACTGTAAATATTTCGATTAATCGATTATTTCTCAATAATTGCAATCGATTCCAATTATTTTTTTTGGCTTGTGATTAATCAATCGATTTTTTTATTTTTGCCATCCTTAGTTATGACCCTGTTTTTGATAATCCTTCGGATAAACCGACGGATTTCTTCAAAAACACTTCTGCGTATGGCCTTTGGAAGCCAAAAGATTTCTATGAAGCGCTCATCCGAAATACTGAACGGGTCCGTGGTTTTCTGCAACAACATCATTTTGACACGCTAGCGGTTTCTTAAATTTCGTTGAGAACTAACTGCCATACGATTCAAACATCTTTGTAATCCATTCATCTTTACCTAAATACTTTTCCAACTGGAATGCACAGTTATATTTTAATTACATACATATTCTTATTTGATAGAACATGACCAAAAATTGTTTTTTAAATAAATTTATTCCTTTGATTGCTGTGTTTACAAATTAAACTTTACATTACTCATAAGCTGCAATAGCGACATCTTCAGCGGATAGATGTATTATAAAATCTCTTGAAGATATTTGGCGAATGAAAAGCCAGAATCGCTTTTTAGATGAATCGCCTAACTTTCGAATAATTTTTAGATTTTCGAATTTTGTAGATTTTTAGAATTTCAGAATCCGCCTGCTGATCTAGAAAAACGGTATACAGGTCAGGGTAGCCAACTAATTTTTGAGAATTCTCCGATTTCGAAAATTAAATTCGCCTATTTTTCCCGAAATTTCGTAAAATTCCCCACCATTACAAACTTATTACAAAAAAAATTATGTATTTTGATATATTGCTGGGAATTCTGTTTATTTTATTTTTAAATACATACCCAGCCAGCAAAATCATCGTAAACAAGCTCGTAATTGCATAATTTCTCGAAGAAAAACCGGATTAAATATCGTTTATGATAACCGTTTACGACTCTTTTTCGAGCACTTTTTCGCTTTAAATTGTGCATCGCCTACGAACAGTCGTAAACGGATCGAAAAAGCATTCGTATGCGAATATTTTTACGTCCGTTTTTTAATTGTAAACGAGTCTCGTAAACGATTAATTTACGTTAAAAAAGCGTTTTTTTACACTGCTTTATCTACTGTTTTTGAATGCAAAAAATAAAGGCAATTAATTAATTCAAATTATTGTAGTTCTTTTATTGAATGGAATTATAATTAATAAATATTTATAGTGCCGGATCTAAGTATTGGCATAGAGAATTTTTCGCAATGTATGCAAAGTTTTTTACTTGAATTTCTTTTCGCACATTATTTTTTTTAAATATAGTTAGTACTTTCAAATCAGATTTTTGAGAAAAATTCTAAGTATGCAGTTTTATATCCCATTATATTTTAGTATAACATAGTGCAAGCTTGAAGTTGCCAGAAAACCGCGTTGATTTTTGGCAATTTTTTCACGCAGTTTCTTCCATGCAAATTATGTGCAACATTTTTGTTTTTGTATGGATGAAACTGCGTATAAAAAATTGCCAAAAAACAAAGAGGTTTTCTAGCTATTCAAGCGTGCACTTTATTATACTAAAATAAAATGGGCTATAAAACTGCATACTTAGAATTTTTCTAAAAATCTGATTTGAAAGTAGAACTTCTTACTAACTATATTTTTATAAAAAACAATTAGAGAAGAAATCAGAATAAAAAACTTTGCATTCATGGCGAAAAATTCTCTGTGCCAATATTTTTTTCCGGCACTGTATATGTGAAGATATTTTCAGATAAATAAATATTAACAAACTATCTATTAACAAATTAACAATTAAATAAGAGGGGTTTAATATATATTATAAGGTAGCTGAATTTATTTTTTATCTTTTTGCCGATAGGCTGCCAATTTTTTTTGCCGGTCGTGTGCATATTGGAAGTGCTTCTTTGAAACGGAAATAAAAACTTCTTCGTCGGAGTTAAATTTTTGACGAAAAGCACCTAAAAAAATAAAGTTAAAGATTAAACTCCATTGGAAATCGGAAAATTGAATTAAATAAAAAGTGGTAATAAATAATATTATAATCAGTACTTCTTATTGCCGCAGTCGTTGCCAAACCAATAGCGTTGCATTTGGTACCAGTTCCCTTCCACGAGAAAAGTTCTGCTACCTCATCTGTAATAATTTTCCGCCAGTACGTTCTTAAACATTTATCTACATTTAAAATATTTATAGCTTCGAGTTCAGAAACCTATAAAGTGTTTAAAGAATGCAATAAAAATTATTTTATTATGGTTAATTTATGTTTTTAGTTACCAATAATTGTTGTTTTTCACTTGAACTCCCAAGGTCTTTTTCAAATTCCATAAATGCATGCTTTTCCTTAAATGGGCTTCTTGGCAGGACGCCCTCTGCAATGGTTGGTCTCTTATTGTTTCGAAGGGTACCATTTTCTTTCCTTAAAGCAATCACCTCTGAAAATAACCGCTCCAAAACAGCTCCAATTTTTGCATCCATCTGATTCACTTTTTCGTTTAAGGGGTCCACGGTTTTTTTTTAAGAAAGTGGTAGATCGTCCTTTGCTTTTGCACCAGTCTGCCAATAAATCACATACTTAATAATTTTCTTAAATTAAATATTTAACAAACTACTTACTTATAAAATATTGTGATTGAAGAAAAATTGTCAACAAAACTAAAATTTTTTCTTGTGCTGACAAATTATTACAAGCCTTTTTCTATTATATTTTTTTGTTTTATCGTTTACGAGCTTTTCTCTAACTTTTTGGCGATACGAGAATCCCTCGTAAAACATAATGTTCGTAAAATGTACGTTTTCTTGCTGGCTGGGTATGTATAATTCATCTATGTATTCATAAACCAAACCAAACTTTTATTAAGTTTGTTAACAAATAAAGAATAAAAAAATCTACATATAACATTTACGTACATTTTGACAAGTTTTCACTTTTTGTTATATAATTTGGGTTATTTTTATAAAAATATAGTTCTGTCTTTAACAAAAGCCGTTTAAATCCAAGTTTCAAACTTTGTGCAAAATTAAAAAAAAATCAACAAACTTTGGTCAAAATTTGGAGCTTTTTAAGTAGAGTTTCTACAAAATTTTGAGTATGCAGTTTTGTAGCCTACTCAATTCTAGTACAAAAAAGTGCAAGTTTCAGGTACCTAAAAATTTTTGTTTTAGTTTTTTATGCCGAAGGTGTTGCGGTTTTCTTCCATATACAACAAATTATGTTTATTCGTTATATGAAAGGAAATGCTACAAAGAAAATTCTAAAAAATTAACGGTATTTTTTAGCCATTTGAAACTTTATTATACTAGAATTGAACGAGCTACAAAACTGCATACGGCTCATTCCACGGTGACGGTTGAAACATTTCAACTTACATATTTTTAAATCATTATGAAATTAGTGAAGCAAAAATGAAAATTTTTCAAAGTTGGCATACCATAACATGGACAAATATATAAAAGCTATCATATTTATATGCCAGGAAAAAGCGAAATGATCTATTATCAGTTGCCGTGGCCTTACTCATTTCCTTTATCGCTTAGTAATACTTAATTATTTATTATATAATTATTCTATGTAGTTGTTGTAGCAGCAGTGCTCAACCCACCAGGTTCTGTCATGTATCGTCGTGTTCATCCTCCGACTCTGCCGGAGGCCGAGAAAGCGGGCAGAGTCGATAGGCGCGGTCCAGAGCGCTTCTGGTGTCAGGGTCGTAGGGTTGGAGGTGCATGTGAAGAGGCGCTGGGTGTCGTATGGACCTTGCCCACATGCGGGGCAGGTGTTTGCCACTTGTGAATTCAACCGGGAGAGGTAGCTGTTGAGTCGGTGACACCACCCCGAACGGAGTTGTGCTAGGGTGCACCTGGTCTATCCTTCTTCTGTCTCCTCTAAACCTATGGGCGGCGGTCGACCACTTAATACGATGGTTTCATTGCGCGTGCTGAGGCTCGTTCTGACCACAGCCTTAATTATTTTATGAGTTAGACCGCTGTTCAATAAGAAAACATAGCTTATTACACTGATTTCTTTTTTAATTTTAGGCATGTTTGAAAAACGTCGTTTTCGCAACTTTTTGGTTTACGTGCAGGATTTCAAAGAAGACGACCCAAAGACTTGGAAAGACTTCGATCCGACAAAATCGAATATGCAGGCACTTTATGACAAATTCGGCTTGGATAAGAATACACAAGATTTTACTGGTCATGCGTTAGCTCTTTATCGAGATGACGAATATTTAAATGAGCCGGCTGCGAATACTATTCGTCGTATTAAACTGTACTCTGATTCTTTGGCACGATATGGAAAGTCGCCATATTTATACCCCATGTACGGCCTTGGTGAATTGCCGCAAGGTTTTGCACGCCTATCTGCTATCTACGGCGGAACTTATATGCTTGATAAACCCATTGATGAAATTGTACTAGGTGAAGGTGGTAAAGTAGTTAGTGTACGCTCTGGAGATGAAATCGCTAAATGCAAGCAGGTCTATTGCGACCCCAGCTATGTGCCTGATCGGGTAAAAATAAAGCTAATGACTTATAATTTGGTTAAGATCCTTTTTCAGTGGGCACATTCTTGTGCCCACCTAGATTATGTTTCATTATATTTAAAAGGAGCATAACATTACTTCTATTGGAATATTCCTAAAGAACTATTTCCTCTTTGTAGGTACGTAAGAAGGGTAAAGTAATTCGGTGCATTTGCATTTTGGACCACCCAGTTGCGAACACCAAGGACGCACTATCTACCCAGATAATCATTCCACAAAAGCAGGTCGGCCGTAAATCGGACATTTATGTATCTCTCGTAAGCTATACTCATCAGGTAGCTGCCAGGGGCTGGTTTGTTGGCATGGTGTCCACTACTGTAGAAACTGATCATCCAGAAAACGAAATAAAGCCTGGCTTGGACTTATTGGAACCTATTGCACAAAAGTTTATCACGATCTCTGATTATCTGGAACCAATAGACGATGGTACTGATACACAGATATTTATTTCCGAATCATATGATGCTACTACCCATTTCGAGACAACATGTTTGGATGTTTTAGATATCTTTAAGAGAGGAACCGGCGAAGACTTCGATTTTTCGAAAATTAAGCACGAACTTGGCGATGAGGATCAGTAATTGTGTTTCGATCATATTTTTACAAGAAACAGATTCTGATGTGCACGCTGATATCATTGAAGAAGAACATGAATCAAAATTGCGCATGATATAAAATATAATCACATTACTATATATTACTATAAATGCTTAAATGAGCCAAACTGTTACAGCGAAATATTAATAAAAAAGAATTGAAAATATGAAGGCTTGACACAAGGCACATAAGTACAGGTAGAAGCCATTTTGACGATGCTCTCATGAGCAGTAAACTTTCAAACTTCAACATGTTTTGCTTTTATTTTTCTATATTTCATTACTTTTGGAATGGCTTGTCGTTTTGTTTGAATGTTCGTTAATAGCAAATTTGAATTAAAATTTCAATTTTTGCAGTGCTGTGCAGTTAACTTTTGTGTATATGTAATTTGTGCGGTTTATGCTAATGTGTAATAATTAATATTATCTCGAACATATATTAAAAATGCAACACTTGAAGCGCTGTTTTCTATGAAGTTTCAAATATAATGCACACACACTTAATTTTTTTAAACGTCCCACAATGTCTTTCGCGGAAGGAACGTAGGGAAAGCAGCTGTGATGTAGCGCTACCGGAAAGACCCTCCAACAACACTGAAACTCATCAATCAAGTTGTAATAGCTTAATAGACCCTAAATAAACTTCAAATTTACTCAAAAACGTCAGCCAGTGAAATGTAATTTTTTAATTTTCATTCCACTCCCTCAATCTCATTTTTACTCTCACGAGAACTTCGACCTTTAAAAGTTTGTCGTCAAATTGGCTTCTAGCTGTTTTTAATGTACCTTGGCTTGCCACATGTATTGCGCCATTGAAGTAAAACATCTATGCTTACTCATTCAAACCCAAAAAAGTATATATCAATTGAAAATGCACATCGCCATCGATGGTGATGAGATGCATCTCATTGATGTAAATATGTTTAATCGCGAACTTCTTTTATTAACAGAACTTTTTTAAATGTCATTTTTAATTATATTTTTATTCTATTTCTATTTTTTACATGCATGTATACAAAAATATATCTTCACGTTTTTGAAGAGTTCGCCGTTGATTAACGCCTTCACATGATATATTCTTTTCGCAGAAAGGTTTATGTTTTATTTATGGATAATAACCAATCGTTTAGAATTTGAGAATAAATGAAAAAACAATAGATGACCAGGGTTAGATCCATGATAAAAAAATAGGAAGGTAGAACCACTGAAAGGAATTTTTCAAATTCTTGACGTTTGCAAGCAATTTAATTTAAAAATTTTACACACATTCTCATTTTCAATCTCAAACAACAACTTTCAACAATTCCTTTTTTTACTCACAATTTTATATGATTTTAAAATGTTGGCAAACTTCAAAAAAAAATCATGGCCGACGAGTTGAGAGAACGGTTTTACCTTACTATGTTTTTATCATGGTAGATCTACTTAAATACAAGAATATCGGCAACATATAAGTAACTGCCATTCAGAATAAATAGTTCTCATAACAGGTCTATTCTGCGCTGGTAATAAAAAAATTGTAACCGGTAAGTAAAGTTCCTGTAAATTTTTAAACCTTTTTCGCATTCTGTGTACTCTTGTAACCGGTCAATTTTGTTACCATCTCATAAGCTGGTAACATAGTATTGCTCCGTGGAATATCAGAATTTCCACAATTTTTCATTGTTGAATTGCTGATTATTTTAACGTACCTAGAATCGCGGTGACAACAACTGTATATATTTTGGTAATACAGTTTTCCGGTTACACAATTTTTGGTAACGTGCAGAATAGACCTGTGAATGTAAAATTCAGTTTCTAGTGGGTCTCAAAATAAAAATGAAATTCCAAGGACAATATATCAGATGGCGCACAGTGTTTCGACTATATGGAGGCAGGTGGAAATAATAGTTAACGTATACCGATTTCGCTGAAACTTTACATGTGCACTAATTTTGCTTAGGAATAGAAAGTTATGAAATTTGGTAAATATAGGATAATTGCCACGCCCGCCACTCTTGTGGGCGGAAACATTAAATTTCATCCGATTTCGATGAAATTTAGTTTATAATCTCTATTTAATTAGACAACCCTAAATATAAAATGTGGGGAAGAATGGATCACTATTACGTCTAAACCTCGCAAAAAATGTGGGCCCAGTAGTTAAATGTGAAGGAATTTTGGTTGGTTTTCCATTTCTTGCTTTCCACTCTCAGAAAACAAAGGGTTTACAAAAAAAAAAACATAGGTGTAAATATTTTCCTTTATCCCATTATTTGGGGTGGTTTTTAAATTTTTCGAAAAATTCCTTTCGCGAAATTACGCAAAAAGATGCTGAAAATCGAAAATTAAGAAAATAGAAAATTACATATGTTCGCAAAGTCGCGCGAAAAGATCCAATTCTATAAACGAAAAAAAATGATCTGAAATTTTGTATTTATGACTTTTACTTTTGCCTCTCTAAGCCCAACTGGTTTTTTTACCTCTCTTTTATTAGCTCGGGATGCAACTATGTAATATTGAT